CTATTATAAAATAGCCGCGGCTAATAGGCTATAATATAGAAGGTTTCTCCAGAGACAACATTCTGGCACTGTGTCGGACGGGCCGAAGTTCCAAAACGCCTGGCCGAGGATACACGGGCGAAAAGGGAATTGGCTTCAAGTCCGTCTTCAAGCTCGCCAAGCGGGCGCACATACGCTCTCCGCCTTACTACTTCCAATTAGACCAGACGAGAGAACTGGGCATGATTACGCCGCAGTGGGATCAAGGCTTCTTTGACCGTCACCAAGAAAATCATCAGACGACCATCATCCTGGATCGCATCTGCGACCCGACGACAGACTTTTCAACTGCGCTCCAAAACGACGTTGAGGCCGTTGACCCTGGCCTCCTTCTTTTCCTACGGCAGATAGAACGAATCCACCTCAGGCTCTTCACTTCCTCCTCGGATGGCGTACCGGCCATCTCAAAACGTTTTCATCGCGTCAATTGGACACCCAATTCTGGCTTTGTATCGCTCAAAGACGAAGATGCCGACACAAGACGCAACCTGTACAAACACCTATTTACTATTGATTGTGACGGGACCGAGACACAACGTCGAGGCATTACAAATACCGACATTGTGCTGGCATTTCCTGTGAAGAATAAATCAGGCAGGTACGTGCCGTTGATACAGAAGACAAACTTTGTATTTGCATATTTGCCTCTCGGCAATTTTGGCTTCAGGGTGCGTAATATCTTGGTCACTCACTCGACGGCTCCTGCTAACGCTGTGCACAGTTTGTCATTCAGGCAGATTTCCTCACCACGTCGAATCGGCAATCAGTCGACGAAGACAGCTCCTGGAACAAAAACATTGCACACGCGATTCCACGGGCCTTTGAAGCAGCCATTGGCAAGTTCAACGGAGGAGACGCCAAATTGGACGAGCTATCAAAAAAATGGCCACTTTACCTTGATAACAACACCAGTGGCCTGAGTGCGTACTGGCGCAGCATAACGGAAAGCATAAAGAAGCACCTTCGTGGAGCGATCGTCATCAAGGACCGAACCGGTAGTGTCAGAAAGCCAAAACACCTAATGTTCTTGGACTGGGCACATGACAGCAATGGTGAGCCGATGTTTGGGCAGATGTGCGACTACGTCTCCCCCGATTATCCCGAACCAGTCCGCGAAGCGCTTTTGTCGCTGGGCGTCTCTGCCCCTAACTGGCGATGGGTGTGCCACAGGCTCCAAGAGCTCCACGATGAAAGCTTGCTTCACATTAGGGGGCGAAGCAAGGAGTGGTACTCGGATCTCGCCAAGGTGATTCTCGGGCCACAGGAGCCCTTGGATCATACAAAGTATGCCAGAGACTTGAGAACCATTCCCCTGATTCCTCTGGCCGATGGTACCTGGAGGTGTCCCCCTTCTGAATGTGAACCAATCTACTTTCCGTCAAGCTTGGGCACGACCATCCCCCCTGGACTGCCACTATCCCTGGTCGACGCAGAAGCTTGCACTTGCCCCAAGAGGAGAAAGCTCTTTGGACTCCTTGGGGTAAAGGATTGTGATGCCCCTAATGTAGTCGAGCGGATCATCAACTACCACATCAACTTTAGGTTGGCAAAGCCTATCCATCTTATCGCTCAGCTCAAGTACCTCTACAGGATGCAGGAGCACCTGCGGCCAGGTGACATGGACAAGGTATACTTTGTGTGCTCTAATAGCGAGGGCTTGCGAAGAGGTACTTCGACATATGTCGACACTTCCATTAGTGGCGAGCTACAACAACTTTTCTCCGGTTACAGCGAGGCATACTTTCTGGACAGCCGCTACTTTGCAGAATTCGGTTCTTCTGATAGAGAAAAGCTGGCAGAATGGCTGGCAGATACAGCCGGTGTGGCGTTGGTCCCTCGCTTCAATGTCGCTTCTGGGCTGCACAGGGATTTCAAATGGTTGCTGAAAAGAAAGAGCAATCAGATCTTGGCTATCTTGTATCAGTACTGGGACTGTTACAAAGAGAACTTGACGAACGCGGCAAATGTAACACTAGCAAGTCATAAATTTATGTGCAGACCGGAATGTCGAGTTCCTTTGCGCAAAACCTACATCCCCTTGCCCACGCTTGTGGAGAAGACAGGAGCGTTTGGTGATGCCGATTGCTGTCACTTTCTGACTTTGCCTAGTGGGGACCCGGAGAATTGGAAATTCTTATCAGTCTTGGGTGTCGGACTGGATGAAGGACTCGACTTTTACTTGTGGATACTCAACTAGCCCGGCTTCAACAACCAAAAAGATGTTGACAAGTCACGACAGCTTTACCTGGCAATCCAGTCGCGAGCTTTCTCGCCTACCGACGAGAGGAAGGTCAAGTAAGTGTACACGGGTATTTGATGGCCGTCTTTGTCGTAGATGCTTGGCAACCTGAAGCTGAGTGATGATGCTGACAGTCCTCAGGAAAGCGTTTGGTAATCAACTTGTAAATCTCCCAAACGACGAGTATAAGCGCCTGAGGAGCTGTGTGTGGCATGGGCCCAAGGACCTCTTGTCCAAGCCTGCCTTGTACCCAGTCTACGGCCATGGACTAGACCGGCTGTTTCGAGAAATCTTAGAAGTACCAGACGCTACGTGTGCTGAAACTCTAGAATACCTCGAAACGCTTCGGAATAACGAGTCGACGACAATGGCAGATGTTGCTGAAGCCTATGTGTTTCTGCAAAACTACCACGCAGACACGTGAGTAGAGTGCAGCACATTGGATGTTGTTGTTGTTGCTCAGAAAGAACAGGTTCAGCGTCGATGACAAGACGGCCTGCATCGCCGTGCCTTCATCGGGGTCTGCCCTCGAGTGGAAAACGCCAGCTCAGTGCGTGTGGGACGATGATGAGTTTTCGCAGAATGGACTCGAGCTGGAGAGCAAGATGTCCATTCGTAGCACCATAGAGAACCATGCGCCCACGGCAAAAGCCTTCTTCACCAAACTTCTCAAACTCCCAAACGCTGGCATCCGCGAACTCCTCGCCGACTTGGCACTGATGCAGGAAACGAAGCGCGATGCTCCGAAGCGAGTGTATCGACTCTACGAGAGAGTTGAAAGCTGCCGGCGCAGCTGGCCAGAAAGGATAAGGCATGTGTCCACGCCCAGAATGCGCCAAGTAGCTAACCGTTTGGACAGAAAGGCTTTCAAGAAGAGACCCCTCGTTTTTCTCCGCGGTATGAACGACCAAAATAGCCAATGCGTTTCAATCGAGGACTGCATCTGGACCAGGTCGGTTCTGTGGTACAAGCATGCCCTCATGCCTTCGTTGAATCAGTATCGCGGTCTCTTCCGAGACGCCTTGGAAGTGCCGAATGCAACCATGGATATGCTAGTCACTGAACTGCTAGAACCAGCAATGGACATGGAAGACAAAGACGGATATCAGCACGTTAAGGAGCTGTTGCAAGAAATTGCTCGCCTGCGGCCGAATGGTAGGGTGCTAGAACGACTGGATGGCAAAGACTGCTGGCCGTGCCGAACGCCAACGTGTTTGCATGGCCTTTGCTCGATGGGAAGTTTCTACGTTAACGACCGGCAGGATCTGTTTGGCATCTTTACTAAAACCCACACCTTTCTCGACTTCGACTTTAACGCCTCGAGAAAGCTTGCAGATTTGCTTTGTAATCGAGGTTGCGACTCGTTTCTTTCCGAGAAAGTTTCTACAGAGATAGAATTTAGCGAACCCCTAGAACACGATCATGACCTTATGCAAGACTTCCGACTTCGTGCAGATGCACTTGTAAAGTACTCAATTTCGTCCTCCCACTAGACGTCCGATTGGACGCCGCGTCTTGATTGCTTACCCTAGTATAGGTACTTTGAGTATGCCGAGTGCGAGTCACCCTACGAGCTTCGACCGCTCCTAGAAAATGTTGAAGTCTGGATGAGTGAAGACATAGAGACGCACTATACATTGGAAGACACTACCGTGACGAAGAGCGGAGGAGGTTCCGGTGTAAAGGTTAGTATTGGAGTAGGCAAGACTCCCAAGCTAGATATTTACGTCTCCACAAACAAGCATGTGCGCTCCTGTGCGCTCATAACAGACGTTCCAAAACAGCTTGTGGAAGCATTAAAGCTTGAACTAGCCGATCTCTCAGATCTTCATGCCATCCTGCAGGTGCCACCCGCCTCGTTGGAGGCCTTGCTAATTAAAAGAGGCATCACTGGCGGGGATGCATCAGACGATGACAAAGATACTTTGGTGGCACAACTGATTAACGAAGACTGGCAGATCCAGAGCGATGACAGCTCTGGTAATAATACTGAAGATGCATCGACGACGTCTGCCAGCAGTGTTCGCCCGGATTCTGCCAGGTCGGCCGTTATCGAGTATACGAGTGCTTCTGCAGCATCCAGGGCTACACATACGACTCAACGATCAAATGTGCATCATCGATCTAGCTTTAGACCGACCACTCCCAGGCCTGACTCGCAGGATCCTCTGCATGAACCTGCACATGAGAGCCCGACTGAGCGACCAGTCACATCCCGTCGTACAGCCGCTGGTCTTTACAACATATATAACCGGAGGCGGAACATGGAGCGGCTTCAAAGCTTCGCCCAAAACGCGAACCCTACATCGCATCGACCCGAGAGGTCAAACAGGCAGTCTGGGAGCAGTGGAGGCGCTTTTAACTTGAGCATGTTGAGGGAGACTCTCGAGGCCGCTGGGCCTGCTCCAGTATCGATGCTGGTCCCGGTCGATCCTTACCGGCGCCGACGAACAGTGCTGATTCCGAATCGTAATGACGAGGAAATGGCCCGTGACTTTGAAGTCGGCTTTCTGGGAGAACAGTTTGTAAGTGCCCTGGGCGCCGTGATTTGCTACATCTGTCCAGGTCAGAAGCTCACGCTGGTCGAGGTATACACCTTGCTACACGATACGCTCGAACTACCCGACTTCACGGGCGAGGACAACTGGACCAGCTCGCTGCGCTCTCGGGCTGGCTTCCCGACCTTCGGCTGCGAGGTGTCAGATTTTACCTATAAGGATACTCAGGGCGCGCTCACCAGCTACTTCCTACAGATGCAGCACCCGTACGACACACCGTGTGGCTGTCCACGGTTTGTGACAATGGTAATATGCCCATATATCGGCTAGAAGTCAAAAGCACAACGAGCCGGGATCCCAGTACCACCTTCTATTTGAGTGGCGGTCAGTACAAGTTGGTAGGTTTGTCAAGTCATGGAGCAACTCCGCCGACTTTTGGGCTAACACGGACCAGGCAAAGAAGCTGCGGGTTACCTCGGCGACGCCGTCAGAGGTCTACGTCATTCTGCGCATCTCGGGCTTGGATGCATTGGAAGATGGAGCGGGACACCGACCAGAGTGTAGAGTGTATCTAGATCCTTACACTCGCGGCGAGGAGGGCATACTGGACTTTGTTGCACCCACCTATGCCGTTACGGCTACTACATAGAACAGTTGAGTCAATCTATCCCAGGGTGGCGATCAACTCAA